GGTACCGGTACCGTACGTTACGTAACGACGTACGTAACAAACGAAACGAAACGTAACGGAAACGGGACGACGACGTACGTACGTCGTCCGTTACTTCGTCGTCTCTCTCTCTCTCTCTCTCTCTCTCTCTCTCTCTCTCTCTCTCTCTCTCTCTCTCTCAGTTCTCCCATTTAACCTCTGCATAGCACAAGAAGCAAACCTAAGCGCTTCTCCCTCTACAGGCAATTGTCACATTGGCTGGTCCCTGCAAGTCTCTCAGTGATAAAACTCACAAGCAAAGAAGCCCAAGTATGCTGAGAGATGCAGTGGGTGGAGAGAGAGGGAGACATGTGTGAGAAGAGAGAAATAGATAGAAGGAGGTGGAGCCAGGCCTTTGGCCACACGTCATGTTTTTCTAATGTACCACACTCCGGCGTGCCCTAGGTCTTGCTCAAGTAACTCTCCTCAGGACTGGGCTTAGTCCCAGGCTCAAGGCGAGTCTTGGTCGCAAATGAAGCTAACTGAAATACACTTCATGGTATAATCCTAATGAAATGTAAAGTATATATGATTGAATTTTTTTCTCCTACAAATGAAATTGATGATAAAATTCAAGCAGTTGTACATTGGAAGAAAAAAAAAGGTCACTACTCACCTCATCACTTGCTCGGGAGCTAAGGCAATGCGTGATTGAAAAGATGCCCAACTTTCTCTATCGTTAGATCCCTGCACATGAAGAGATAGAGATTCAACTAATAATCACAAAAACCCCAGCCAAATGCAGGTTTGACGGTTCCAGCATAAAGGCATACCACAAATTTATCTACCAGTGACTGAAGTGCGCCATCCATATGATTTTGAGAAACTAGAGAAGTTTCCAATCCTTTGGCCTCCATATCTTCCATAAAGAAGGCACTTTCATCTTCATTTATTATTTCATACTCCGGCCACTGAGAAGCACTCGCAACTGATATTGACAAAGAACTTGTTAATCTTACACAAATTTTATGGGTGGTACTTCACAATTTGAAGGACCACAAAACTAACTTTTTTAATTATTGATATTTATTTATATTACGAAATACATAATAAATCTAACCTTTATTGCTCACTATTGGGGAAGCCTTGCTGCTTGTTTTACACCTAGAGGAACACCCCACAGATTGTGGACTGGCACCAGTCTTATTACAATCATTATTATGGCCTCCACGCCAGTGGATCATCTGTATAACAGTTAGCCCATACTCAAAAACACAGTCTCCTGAGAACCTCAGCTATGCACATTTAGAATTCTAGTCACCTGGTGTTTTTCAGAACAGTAGTTTGCTTGCTTACAACCAGAACATATTTTATTTCCTTTCCATGTCCCACACCATGTACACAATGTTGCTGAGCAGCAAAATAACCAAAATTAATTAGACAAGAAAATCCAGCCATTGCATTTTAGGACATTAAGAACTAAAGCTCGTGACCAAGACATGCAACTTCCTTGAATTGAAACATGAAAGATTAAACTCTTGAAACATGAAAACTGTAAAAATTAAGCAAGCTTCACTTCAATAGAATGCAATGTTGAATGCTGAAAATAGACCAAAATAGGACACCATCAATGGCTACTATGAAATGATCAAAGAAAAGGACAATTACAAAACAACCAAGTCTATCTCATGTCCTTCTTTCTATTGCCGCATCGGTACCAAAAAAGACAAAAAGGTAGTGAAAGGACCGACTCTAGCAAGCACTAACGACAAATGATGTTTGCCTGGTTAGAAAGGAGAGAAATTTTCAAGCTATCTTGTGCAAAAGCTTAAGCACCATACACTGGCATTTGTGTCATCATTAGATGTGACCCTAGTGGGCAAAGTGTGGCCATGTAGGATGAGTGTTTAGAAGGTTGAGTATTTGAGCCATCAAATGCAGGAAGGGACATTCCGAAAGTTAGAGATTGAATATAAGATGGTGATCATGGTGATAGCAGTAGATTATAATTTTGGTATAACACATGTTGTGGCAATTCCACTCTTTGATTCCATTTCCTAAGTTCCTAAGTCTTAGATTGGTCATTGATGATGCTCGCCCCTTGATCAAGAACCATTTCAATGCTGGAGGTCTTGAGCAGTATGAAATCCTGCATCTAGGCTTTCACCACAAGGATTATGAGAAAGCTGATTTGTATAAACCCTTGGATCATGAAATAAATATGTGTATCTCCTCCAAGGGCCAATGGCTGGGTATGGAAGTGTCATAGGACCAAGGAAGATTGGCTCCAATGAGTCAACATGCAGGGTGAGCTTAGAAAGAAAGGCATTAAAGTAGGATTTGGGGTCCTAAATCAGAGAGGATTGGAGACTATTGAGTCCAAATATGGTAGAATTAATGATAAAGTAATGGGGAAGGATTTGGTATAATTGGGGAAAGAATAAGGGTCATGCCTACATGACGGTTGAAGTTGCTGGAAATTGCACATCCAACAAAGGCGATTGATGGATTCAAAGAGAATGCGGCAAAATTAGGCTAATTTAGGTTTGGAGGGCTTAGGGGTATAGGTGACAGCTTTGGGAAGGTGGTGGGTACTGTTGCTAGGGATTGTTCATGGTAAATAAACAGGGTAGTATATGCCAACAAAAAGGAGCAATAAGTAGGGTCTAACTTCAAGAGACTCTTCCAATATTTCTCTCTACAGTAAGAGTTGAAGGATCTCTCCTTGATTTGAAGGAACTGTTCCTTTCACACAACCAAAAGAACAAAAAAAAACTCAAATATTTACTATCAACTTCAATTTCCAATGAATTAGTCACATTGCTCCATGGATCTTTACATAGTGTTGGAAGTTCAATTTGCTCTATACTTGGACACTAGAAAACAAATAAACAAAACTCCTAAAGTCTCTAATAAATTATCCAACTCGAAGGCTTCCAATCCAACTAAAATTTGAACATTGAACCTTACTTTAAGGAAACTAAAATTATATCCCAAACCACAACAAGGAACTAATAATAAAAAGAAAGAACCTAATACCGTCAGGGAAACAAAACTCATTGCTGATTTATCCAACACGGTTTTTAGAATGCTATGAAACCCGAAACATTTATTACAGAGAAAATCATAGAAATAGCAGTTGTATATCTCTCAAAGATCTTGGCTTGAGCTTTGGAGTTTCAACAACCCCAAAACGAAAATCCAAGTGAAATGTTATGCCTTCAGAAAGGGGTCGCCATCATTTTCACCTGATTGGAGAAAATTAATCATCGAGTTTAGCATAGGTCCCACCTTAAATTCATTGTCTCTTCAGTAAGTTTTTCATTGCTCTAGACAATTTAGAATGTACAAATGATATCCATACTAACTCTTTCAAGAACAACTCCAGAAAAGTATTAACATATATAAATGAATGAATCAAGGGGAACAAATTCAATTGACTTGGTTTTCAAATATTAATGTGCTCAATTTTGATTAATTACATAGTACATTTGCAAAACAAGAGATTAAAAAAAAAAATTCACCTTTAGATTCCCTACAAGCAGCCCCAAGTACTCCCACTCATCCTACATCCAACCCCCTCCCTGCTTTTTCAACCAAAGTCAATTTTTTCTTGAATATTACTGTCAATTTTTTAAATCACATAAACTACCCTATTTTTTTGGTTTAAATACCTGTAGTTCCCATCGACAGTCTCCCTCTCTTAGGAACTTCGGAAATGGAATCAAAGAGTGGAACCGCTACAACCTATGTTAGACCATAATCATAATGTACTGCTATCACAATGGTCATCATCTTATATTCAATCTCCAACTTTTGGAATGTCCCTTCCCGCTTTTGATGGCTCAAATACGCAACCCTCTAAACCATCATCCTACATGGCCACAATTAGCCCACTAGGGTCACATCTAATGATGACACAAATGTTAGTGTATGGTGCTCAAGCCTTCGCACAAGATAGCTTCCAAATTTTCTCTTTTCTATTCAAGCAAACGTCCACTAGGGTCCATTTGTCGTTAGTCCCTACACTACCTTTTTATGTCTTGTTTGGCACCGTTGCAGCAACAGAAAACAAGGACATACAATAGACTTGGATGCTTTGTAATTGCCCTTTTCTTTAATCATTTCAAAGTAGCCATTGATGGTGTCTTGTTTTGGTCTATTTTTTGGGTAATTCAGTGGGGAAGACAAGCCCCTCCTACCCGATCTTTTAAGTGGATTAGGAGTTAGAATTTTGAATGTTTAAGTGGGGTGGTGTAAGTGGAGAAGACAGGCCCCTACCCATTCTTTTAAGTAGATTAGGAGTTATAATTTTGAATGTGTAAGTGGGGTGGTGTTAATGGTAGGAATGGAAAACATAACATGTTGACTAGGTATGGGGATGCTACCACCACGACCCTAGCCCCTTTCCTAGTTATTTTAGTCTATTGTCAGCATTATACATTGCATTTCTATCCATGTGAAGCTTGCTTAACTTTTGCAATTTTCATGTTTCAATACAAGGACATGTTTAGGTCATGTAGTTTTAGTTTTTAATGTCCTTAATGCAATGGCTGGATTTTCTAGTCTAATTAATTTTGGTTGTTTTGCTACTCAGCAACATTTTGTACATGGTATGGGACATGGAAAGGGAATAAAATATGCAATAGTTGTAGGCAATAGTGTTTGGAAATTCGACCGCCCAGTTGCCTAAAACACCTAGGCAGAACATAGGCAAGGCACCTAGGCGCCTTGTGTCTAGGTGTCTGCCTAGGCAGGCAAGACACCGCCTCGACGCAGGCTGCCAAGGTCGGGAAAATGCCCTCAACTACGGTCAAAATAGTAATTAATCCCCTCGCCCCTAAAAAGAGGGGAAAAGGGTTTTAGAGAACATTCTAAACCCCCAAAACCAAATCCATGCCATCTAAAGAGAGAAAAACTCCCCAAAAACCTCTATTTTGATATTTATTGAAAGATCTATAAATTTTTTATGTTTTCGATTTCTTCCGAAATCAAAGGCAATGCTTCGTGGTAGTTTTCAAAGCCTCTGGTGGTCAATAGTAAGGAATTTTGGCGATCGAATAGACGAGGTTTTGGTCGACATCGTTTTCATTTTGATTTTATTTAGAGCATTATGCCATTATGATATTTGAATAAGGGTTTTGAGTTTTTTTGCTGTAACGTATTATGTTTCAAATCCTTTGATTTTTATTTTTTTTTAAATGTTTTTCTTGTTATAATATATTTACATGTTTGTCGTTGAAAGATTGATTTTTTGGTGATTAAATGATTATTAACTCGTTCGGACGATGAAATTGGTTCTATATCGATTTTTTTTTATGAATAATTGGTTCTTATTTTATACAATATGTGATGTTTTGATATCCTATTAATTTTGTTTTAATTTTTTGATATTTTTTAGATATTTGTAGATATTTTTTAATTTTTTGATATTTAATATTGCATAATATTGGATAACGTGGTTACTCTTTATAAAAACTGGTATATATTGGATCATATATTTTTAGCTCATACCTTTTGTAGCTTTGCGATATCCATCTTGGTTATATCTCTTTTGTCATCTTTGATGGGGATCGCCTTTATCTGATTTTGCAAGGATGATGGCATTGTAATTTGTAGTATTCCACAATTTTCAAACTTGGATTATTAGAATTTGTATGTTTAGTTATACGGTATGAAAAATAATAAAAGACAATAATCTTACCACTACTTAAACTGAAGAAAAGTTTCATTGCTGGATTTTAGTATAATCTTGCTTATTTTTGCCGGATTGTAAAGTTTCTCATCTTTGCATGGTTTTACATTGACGAAGGATGACACATTCGACAATAGGGAGAAATTATATCTCATTTATTACATAGGAACTATCGAATCAAAGTAACACTTATAGGGATAAATCGCTAGCCTGAAACAAGAGTTCACAAACATGCGTGTTACTATATTCCAAGGTGTTTGTCTCATCTTTAATAAATTTAGCTCCACAATAATATTATATAATACGCATGGTACTAAAAGTCTATCATTTTGTATAGGCACATAAATCTCAACAACACAAATAAGCAAGATTTTATTGGAATCTAGCAATAAATTTTTTTGTTTAGTTTAAGCAGTGGTAAGATTATTGTCTTTTATTATTCTTCATACCATACAACTCAACATATAAATTCTTATAATCCAAGATTGAAAATTGTGGAATACTACAAATTACAACGCCGCCATCCTCGCAAAAAAGAAAAGGGGGGATCCCCAAAAAAAACAATAGAAGGGATAATCAAAATGGATATTACTGAGCTACAAAAGGTATGAACTAAAAATATATAATCTATTATATACTAATTTCTATAAAGAGTAACAACACGCTATCAAAATTTATATAATTCAAATGCATATTTTCACAAGTCAAAACTAAA